ATGGTTGTAAAGCCATTCAATCTTGAGGATTTTACCTTTAAAAAAATAGTTAAATGCTTATTAGCATAAAGCTATTATCAACTTTTTTTTGATTTTCAATTCAAAACTTATTTTTAACAAAAATGCTAGGTCATATATGCAAGATAATAGATAAGCGTCATAGCATCATTAAATTCTGTTTGATAGTTGTGATTTAGGTAATGATTTAGTTTAGGGTTGTTCAGTGAGAGTCACAACTGTCACGGTCGTCACTTTTCATCTATTTAATCAACATTGATTTTATTTTTATTATTTTTTTTACTATAAAGTCTTACTTTAAGATAAAAACTTTAATTTAAAAAATTTAAGCTTCATCTTAAACAACATCAGATATTTTGAGTTGGGTTTGAAAACTTTTAGCTACCTTAAATATTGATTGATTTTTAATAATATTTTAAATTTTGATAGGTATATTATAATTATCTACATATATTGAACAGTTATTCTATGTACGTTTCTATACAGTCAATATGGGAGTTTCATTTGGTATTGTTTGGTAACTGAGGCATATATACTTTTTTTACAACTTCAATAAATTTACACTTCGTTTCGTTACATCTACATGACATAATATAATGCAACGTAAAAAATATAACATAATAATACCACGTCTAACATAGCATAATAAAAAGAAGTGTAAATCTAAAAAATGCGATGGGACTGTTCTAAGTATGTATTTAAGTATGAATAGTACATTTTGGTAGATGCTGATTTGGGAAACATTTGTTGCATTCAAGGTTTTTATTAAGGGTTCAGCATGGGTGAGTTTATTTTTATTATAAACTAATCTTGATGCTTTTTTTTGACTTATATAAATAGTACTCAATTTGAATTTGTGTGTTCTTGCCCATGTAATATTAGCGTATGTAAGATAACTTTGGATGTAAGAAAAAAAAAGTGATTTAAGATTATGTTGGGACAACATAGGTTTATGCATGACAAGGAAGGGCATATTCCCTTTCTTTTCATGCAACCTTTAAATGAAAAATTGAATAGTTAATCTTAAACTTTAATACATTTTTTAATACTAATTAATAATCCACAAATACAAAATAATATATACAAGTGGTTGATGTGTGTTGCGAAAATATTTCTGCACTTCAACCACGTATTTAATAACATCTGGGTGTGTTACTGCGCAGAAAACATTAACATACGGTTTAAAAGATTTGAATGTTTCTTAGATTAACATCCTCATTTTTTCAACTTATTTTCATTATCTGTTTCCACAGCCAACGCTACTTTTTTTGTATGCTTTCTTAAGATTTTAAATGACATTACGAATAAGTTTGGTACAGTACTTTGCTGTTTATTTATTTGGTGCACAATCAGTTATGCATAAAAGTTTAGACTTCAATCCGTCATATGCACTGTGAGCAATAAAATGATCATTAGTAACATTTTTCCATCCATCTTGCATAATTGTTATTGTTTTCTCTTCTCGGGTAAATTGATCCATCATTTTTACTTCATTGCACATTGGGGCCTAACAAAGTAAAAAATGGCCAAAAATCTAAAAATCAAGTTTTAAATTTTTGAAAATTTTAAATGCTAATTTTAAATCTTATTTGTAGCTGCATCTGAAACAGATTAGTTTGTACTTAAAAAAAGTTGGATGTTGAGTTACCATTAGACTCAAACTCAAACTGATCGAAATTTGTGCAGTAACCAATAATTACTTTATTGGTTACTGCAATAATTATATAAAATTATATAACCAATAATTACTTTGTAAGGATTATTGGTTACTGCAGTAACACATAATCCCTACCCAATTCAAAAGCATTGTTCAAAGATAAATAAAACCGTGAAATGTGTAAATACATTTAAAAATTATTAAGTATAGTGAAATTGTTGCAATTATAAAACAAAATGATAAACATTATCTAGCGATTGAAAAATGTTTGTTGTGTTGTGAAGAAAAACTTAAAAGAGACCTAAAGGAAGAAGAAAAACAAGTTATAACACAGAAAATAAAAAATATAAAAAAGCGATACAATAAACTTTGGAGAAAGCAAGGTTGTTCTTCTGCAAGATTTATGAAATACCATGGAAGTTGGCTTCAAACTGAATACGAGCTTCCAATAGAGCTTAAATGTGACCCTCAGCTGTCCAGTTCTGAAAAAACGAAAAGAGGAAGACCAACTATGCCGTTTTTGGAGATGTCTGCCAGATCCAAACGCCGAGTTATTGCTAATGTTGTATCTAATAACGAACCCGAAACTGAAATGTACCTCAGATTTGATGCAACCGTCGCTGCACAAAATGATAAAAAAGACTTATCTCATTTAATCAAACAAGTTATTCAAAGTCAAAATTTGGCTGCTGTATTGAATAAGATTAATTCTGAAGTTGTGAGAATGCCACCGGAATACATTCCACCGGAGGCGTTATCGTTTCTTTTCGATAGGAATTTGTCCAAAGATCAGTATAATCAAATAGGATTTGCAGCTAAAACTCAAGGTGGCGATATTTTCCCTCCTTATAAGTTGGTATCAGCTGAAAAATCTCAATGTTGTCCAAGTGAATTATTGCAAACAGAAAATTGCATTGAAGTAGAATGGAAGCGTTTATTAAAACATACGTTTATTAATACATACTTAATAAAAAGAATTAGTAAATTGCAGCATGAACTTATTGAGAAAGAAATTCCAGAAATTAATGTAGTTCAATGCAAATTTATAGTTTCTTATGGCTTTGACGGTAGCACGCAACAAGCAAGGTTCAATCAAGATCTAAGTAAAAATTTTAGTGATAGTTCATTATTTGTGACATCTATGATTCCTTTAAGATTGCAAACAAGCTGTGGAAAAATTTTATGGACTAATCAAACAGTCTACTAGATTTTGCCGTCTACTAGATTTTGCCGTCCACAGAGAATCGAATTTGCAAAGGAAAGTAAAGAATACGTAATTCGATTAAAGGAGAAATATGATAAAGAAATTGCTGAAATCGAAGAGGTTGTGATTATTTTAAAGTCTGGAAAGAAACTATTGGTTGAATGTAATCTGTGTTTGACGCTAATAGATGGAAAGATTCAAGCATTTATTACAAAGACATCTTCGTTTCAACGATGTAATGTGTGTGGTTGTTCTTCAAAAGATATGAATAAACTAGTAAATTTTACAAAAGGAGTATTTAATGTTAACCCAGTAGCTCTACAATATGGTTTAAGTATTCTTCACATGCATATACGCTATTATTGTTAAACACAAATATTAATAATGAAAACTGTGATGATTTTGAACAGTCACATGTATGAAATAAATGTAGGTTCTGAAATATATCAATAAGATGATGTTATGATTTTTTATAATAAAAATAGCAGACGTGGCGCAGTGGTTATAGTGTTGAACTCTTTACCCAAGGGGTTGCAAGTGTGAATCGAGTATCAATAAAATTGAACAAAATATTTCGTACAATAACTTTTCTCTATTATTTGCTTGCAACATAGATGGCAGCATGAGTTTTTATCTTTTGTATAAAAAACTTATTCATATTTTCATATAGTATTTTACACTTTATTTTAAAAATTTGGAAAAAGTTGTGTATGGGGGGGGGGGGCACTCAGCCTTTCACTCCTCACCACTCCCCTTTGTTACCGCGATCCCTTTTATAAATACGCATGTTTTACTTTTTTTTTCTATAAGTTTTTTTTATAAGCTATAAATATATACTTAAATAATATAGTAAAAATTAAAAAAAGTGCACTGAATGTCAATTTATTGCTAAAGAAGTTCTTATCAGACTCCATTTCGAAAGAAAAGGTCAAAAATTTTTCAAAAAACATTTAATTATTTTTTCATTCAATTTAGAATACTCTTTTTTATAATTGTGCAAAATTTTAAATGGATTGGCAGATTTTTCGATTTTTGGCCATTTTTCCTTTGTTCGGCCCCATTGTGTAATGTAATAAACATTTTATGTCAATAATATAGTTTACTATTAAATAACTATATTATAGGAAAACGTGTAGACTTTATATAAAAAATAATAAAAATTAACAACATAATTTATTTTCAATAATTCTTTACGTTGAAAGCAAATAGGAACAGTATTTCGGAATGGAAGGAATATAAAACAAGTAATTTGGTAAATAATTTTTCCGACGATACGGGTCCGGAAGTGGTGAGGCACAATCGTCAATTTTTTTAAAAAGTCCTCTATATTTAGATTTTTCTGAAAAAAAAAACGTCCTCTAGAAAAAAAGTGTGCAGAGACACCCTTCCCCTCCCCCCGGTGTTGTCGGCTCTGATGTCAAAGAAAAAGGAAAAACGATTTAGTCGGTGTTTAAAATAATTTACTATTTTATAATTTTAAATATATTTTTTTATTTCTATATTATATTTATCCTAAAGTTATTTTGGGATTATTTTTATTAGATTTTTATTTGCTACTCCTTTGTGAATGTTATTACGGTGAGCAGTACTGACATGTACAGAAAAGTACTGACATGTACAGAAAATAATATCATACTTTGATATTATTTATAAAGTACTATTGATATAACAAAAAAGTTTTATGACTTTAATTCAAATTTTTTTATTTAGCGCCATTAAAAATTAATCAATTCTGTCGTTAGACAAATTCCAATGGATTGAATCTGTTTATACTACCTAGAAACATATACGTTCTTTTGTATAATATTATTTGTATAAGCCTTATATATGCGCTTTTTTTTTGTCATTATTAAAAGAAAAGCGCGTTTTTTTTTTTCTTGCAACATTTGCAGCATTTAGAATTGATTAAGTAAAGCAAAAAAGATCATTTAAACAAATAAAAGCTAAAATTTGATTATGTAAATAACCAAAACTAGTATTATGTAGTATTATAAGTTATTCATACACAAAATGTGTATTTAAGTACGTGTGTAAATAAATATTCCCGAATGCTTTTATATCGTTAAGGGATATTGAGGAATTCATTTTAGTGTTTGCATATAAAAAAGACTAATTGACAAATCAAAACATAATATTTTAGGAAGTTGTAAAATAACCAATGAAAATATTTTAGATTAGTTGCCAACACTTTAAAATCGAAAGTACAATCTGGCATGGTAGCAACGGAGAAATCGCAACATTAAAGCTGTAAGTTAAAAAAAGACTACTAATCTGCCGATTTGTTAGCCCATTTACTACCATGGCAGAATCGTAAGTTTATTTCATTCAAATTTAACATAATAAATGTTAGTAATTACTGTTTGCTTTATGTATTTATTTTTGGCATGAATGGCTGTGAGGCATTTACAAAGCTTCATAAAAACTGTCATGTTCAAATAAAATATCATTGAATTATTTTAAAATGAATCATAAATATGTTAAACGAAAACACAAAATAAGTTTATCTGTTGCTGTAAAATAAATATAAAAAGATTTTATTCATAAATGTTTAACTTAAATGCATAAATTAATTTAAGTATACTATAAGTAAAAAGTATACTTTGAGTAAAAATAACTTTACTGTAAAAATTTATATAAGTTAGATAAATAAGTAACAATATAAAGTAAATATAAGTTCTTTAAAATGAACACCACATTTGCAGACTCATTAAATCTTAGAATAAAAAAGTATACAGTATTTAATTAATTTTATTTTTTGCTTATCGCCATCACGTCTTCTTTTATTATTTCAATTATGAATAAAAAAGATTGCTGCCCTAAGTCTAAGCCTCAGTAGATGTAACAGTACTCCCTTGCGGCAGCAGGCCATAAGATAGTGGATGTATGTGCTGAAGCCAATAAATATTATGAATATGATAAGGTAAAAAAACTAATTAGATGCATGCCTATATGTACTACATTCAAATTTCTTTTTTTAAATAGGTAGTGTTTATTAGGTGGATAGTCATGGTAGTAGTTTAATATGAAAAATGTAACATAGTAAATCAAAATAGCAATAACAATATTACCAAAACAAAAAAAAATTTATAAGACTAATTAAAGTTGCAGTCAACTTCTCAATATTCCACAAAATGAACAATATTAAAGAGCATGTAATGCACTGCTTTATGAGTTTTAGTCTAACTACTCGGCAATTAAATCTACGCAGAATATATGTGATTGGTCAGAATTCATTGTCTGAGGCAACAGCAAAGTGTTATTTTCAATATTAACTTGATCCACCAGATTAATGGAAATGGATTAAGATCATCAAAAGCAGCTAGTTGAAATGAATCTTATAATGAAGACTTGAAAATATTTTTAACAAATTATTTCTTAACAGATTAAATCTTAACTTATTAGATTTATAAACCTTTTTTAATAAATTGACAAAATGATGTTGATGTATTTTGATAATTGAAAAATTAAATTAAACATAAAGGTTTAAGAAGTCACAAATTAAATCTTACATTGCATAATGATATATTGTTTATAATCTAATAATCCTAAAACATGAAACTTTTATTTTATAAAAATGTTTTAAATGAGATATGTACCAGAAAAAATCTGCAAGGATATTTTAATTGATATTTATTCAACTATTGTATTTTGATATTGAGTATTATATATTTTTTGAAAGTATGTATTAATATTCCTAAGTTTCATTTTAGTTTAGTTCATTCCTTAGTTAGTTGTGAAGTTGTGTATTTGATTGCACACAACATAAAATCAGCATTTCCATGGTCCATTTCTACTGGACTTGCTTAGTAGCTCTACTCCATTTATTTTTGAATTCATAGATGTTTTAGCATATTTTACGAGAAAAATAAAGAAATTTGAAATTTTAAAAAAAAAGATTTATATTCAAATTTTGCTTTTAATTTTATTTTTATGTATTTGAACAATGATTTTTTTGCTATTTGAAAAAGTGTATAATATTCATTTGATAGATTCATTTGATAGAGTTCTTTCTGGTCTACAAAACTATGTTAATTGTCTTTTTAAGTAGTTCAATATTTGATTACTTGTTAGGCTAAGAAAAGAAATATCCGCAAGGTAAAAATTAACATTTTCAACATTTACTCTTCACTTTTCATTGAGGCCAAAAAGCTGCTGAAGCAGCCTGGGGCATTTGCAACATATAGGGAAAAGATGTTATAGTCTAAAGCAATGGTTTACAAAGTTCAAATCGAAAGACAAGCCTGAAAGAAGACTATGATCTGCGTTGGGTGGTGTACTGGAAAATGCTTGCAAGGAATGTCGCGATCACCAAGGAGTTCCCAGCTACACCACGTGAATGAGGATATGCGACTGAAAAGACCCCATCGACAATGCCAAATCATGCTCCTTCAAGACAACTCCAGGCCCCATATTGCACAAGTCACTAAAGCTGCACCCCAAGAGTTTGAATGGGAGATCCTTCAGCATCTGCTGTATTCTCCAGACCTTGCACAAATGAGTGATGATTTTTTTTTGCTCCCTGTCAAACCGTATGAGGGGCATTATCATTGATAATAGAAAAGATCTTATAAACTTGCTTGACAACTTCTTCGATAACAGGTCAGACAATTTTAGGCAGAATGGCATCAAAAAGTTGGTTGGAAAAAATCATAAACAGCAACGGCGAATACATAATTGATTAATTAATTGTTATTACTAATGATTTTCTTTATATAAAAGTCTTCAATAAATACAAACTTATTACCCAACCCAATAAACCAACAATAATACTAATTTAATTTTTATTTTTATTTCATTTATTTGTATATATATTTTTTATCCATCAATAGTAAAACAAACTCAACACTACCTTTTAAATCAAAGTTTAAAAGCTTTTTTAAATGGATTAATTTTTAATTGTATAAACAAGTAAAATCTTAAAATTGTAATATGAAGACTATATTGTTAACATTTTATTTAATAGAAATAAATAATTATTATTTTAAAATAAACTTTATTTATTGTTTTAACTTTTAAAGTTTAATAATTTAAAGTTAATTCAATAAAAAAGTAAACTGCAAGAAAGAGCTATTTAAAATTAAGTAAAGACTTAATGTAAATAATAAGTAACTAAAACTAAATTTTGATTTTTTATAAGTACCTAAAGTATAACTATTTACTAAACGTGGTGAAATCAACTTATTTTAATATTTATAATTAAATATCTTTGTAATGCTTATTTTTATGTCAGTTTTTTGTATTCAAATGGGATCTTAGATATGACATGGTAAAATATTGAAACAAAAATAATGTCTTCAAATATTTAAAAAGTTACACAATCATAAAAATGTTAAAAAAAATCAATTACAGCATGCCTATGAGATAAAATTGATCAATTTTTAGGCATATAAAAAATCATAGAATAATACTGCTACAATTTAGCACTAAAAGTTAAATATTGCATCAGATGCATATTCTTAGGGGTCGTCCATAAAGTACGTAAGTTTTTTTTTGCTAACCCCTCCTTCCTCCACAATTTCCCGTACGCTTTTTTGAGTACTCTCTACCTCCCTAAAAGTACCTACACTTTTAACTTACTAACCCAATATTTTATGATATTTTTTTAAATTTAGTGTCACCATACTTTTATAATTGACCTACTGGCCTGATATCTCAGAAACGCCATTTGCTGACTTCCTCTTCCTCTCTGAGCGTACGTACTTTATGGACAATCCCTTATCTGCATACTGTATTTCACATTTCTCCAAAAATTAGATTGTTACTTCTTTTGTTTAATTCTGGTTCATTAAGAGGTTCAATGACCTAAGAAGCAGGAAATATATCTAACTGGCCTTTATCAGGGAATTGAAACATATGACCACTCTGCTTTTTTTCAAATTCTATGACAGAGAACTTTTGTAATATGTCTGATATAGTGCAAAGTGATACTTTTGTTCTCCTCTGGGTATGCAACAATAACTAGTCGCATAACCAATGTGACTTGTTCAATATTGCATGCTTTTACAGCATCTCCATAAATGGGATCAACCAAATCATGGTTGTTATCTGAAGAATCTGCAGACAGTTGTTGAATTTGTGTCACTTCTAATCAGGATTAAAGTGTGTCATTTTTTTTCCCTCTTCATTCCCCCCCCCCCCCCATTGTTTCTATTGCATAATTGAAAACAGTTGCAGGTTGAGGCAAACTCCAACAACATTAGTTTTCTTTGAAAGGATGTGTCTGATGACTTGATTCCTGTCAAGAGAACCAATACCCTTTGCCCTGAATCCAGATTCACAATAGATTGATTTTTTGGAATACCGCTTTTTCTATTGATTCTTTTTTCCAAGTTTCTAAAATTCATTTCCATTCAATTTTAAGAGATCTAAAATGGTCACATCTAACGACTGCAGCAGATGTTTGGCATTTGGTAAAAAACAAAATAAATATATTTGTGTATTGTTTTCTGATGCAATTGACTCAGTGAATACAATGCCAAGTTGTCTCCATTTAATATTTTAACTCACAGTTAATTTTTGACTTGTTTATAAAAAAATTAATAAAACTAATGTTCAAAATAATACCCGTTGAACCAGCCAGATTTGATTGAATCAAGTATATATCTGACTGGTCCTCCCACATCCCATTTGGTGTAACAGTTTTGACCTTTATGCACAAACATAGGAGGTACATGCAATCTGTCAACATTAGCACAATACATTATGCTGGTAGCTTACTTGAAATATTTATGTTGTGTTAGCTGGTAGCTTACTTGAAATGTCTATGTTATGTTTGACTTCTTTGAGCCCTCTTTGACAAACCACCATTTTTGCAGCTGGATTGTCTGTTTGATTTGTCTAATAGTAAATGTTAACATTTCCAGAGAGTTTTCCTTAAACAGACATTTTTAACTTAGTAAAGTAATAATTAACTTTCTCCACATTAACTCTAACAGGCTTCACATTTTCATCTAATCCTTGTGTTAAATAATATTTATGAATGAATGACTTAAGCCAGTCTGTCCTAGGACAATTGTTATTGAAGCAACCATCATTGACTCCAGTGCAATCCAAATAATTTTTCACTAAAAGGCGTATGTCCAATTCATCAAGAGAAACTTTCTACTCTAACAGGGTGTTAATCCTTAGAATGTAATAAACTCTAACTGAATTTAATAAATCCTCAGTTTGATCAATTTCACAGATGAATTTCACCATACTATATATATATTAGACTATCATATTAAATTTTTGTTGAAATATATTTGTTTATTTATATAATGTAGATTATAATAAACTAATAATACAATAAAAAGTTTAATTTTGTATGAAATAAATTTCTTTTAAATATGCTTATTATACCTTATAAAATTTTAGATTTTGGTTTTTCCAAGTTTTTTTTATTTTAAAAATTATTATTTAGTGTTCGTGTAGCTGTCAGAGTACGACCATTTAATTCTCGGTAAGTTTAATTTTTATGTATTTGAAACGGTGTCTTTTAAAATTATAATTCTTATAAAACTTATAAATTTAAAAATAAAACAAGTATCTAAATAACAAACATTTTTTTGTAATATAAAATTTATCTATAATTTTTTAATATTATTTTGCTTATTTTGATATCCAGGTTGACGTACTTAAAAATTTTTTTTTTGAAAATGTTTGAGTATTTTTGGGGTGATATTTAAGTTACTTCTAAAAATAATTATAAGAAATTTTTTTTTTATATAGTCTCTTACATAGAACATTTTTTAGAGAGTGTGAACACCAACACACACAGATTTTAAAGGGTGTAAACAGATACACACACGCACATAGTAGCCCATTAACAAATCCTCTTAGTCCATAACAAAGTATAATTAAATTTATGTTTTCCAGTAAAAACTACTTCCAAAGTTATTATCAGGTTTTCACCTGGTAATTTTTTTGAACTCAATTTTAATGATTATAACATGTCTTAGTCTAAAAGTGGAGAAATTCCTTTTTAGAAAAGGTGATTGAATTCTTCTATTAAATATAATTTTGAAAGGTGGTATTTAGTTGTAACTAACATATTATTACGATTGGTTAAAAGCTCTAAGAATCATGTGCTTGTGAATTTTGTCTTTTTTTTTTTTTTACCTGAAATCTAATAAAATTATTTTGTACCTTTTATAAAAATATTTTGTACCATATATTTAGTTACTGTATAAATATTAGTATTGGTAATAGTATAAATAAACAGGGTTCCCACATCTCCTTAAAAACCTTAAATATCCTTAAAAAATAAAAGCCTCCTTTAATGTCCTTAAATAACCTTAAAAAAAGTTAAAATTTGACTGCTCTCCTTAATTTCTCCTTATTTTTTTTTATTTATCTAGAAAAATTATTTAAAGTGAATGCATTATACTTGTTAATAAAGAAGATAATATATAGATTTTTAATAGTTTTCAAACCTATTTTTGTTATTATATATATATTAAAATTTATATATATATATATATATATATATATATATATATATATATATATATATATATATATATATATATATATTATACAGGCCTTGCGATGAATAAGAACTGCGCGACGCATAAGCACGACGCGATTTTTGACGTCATTAAATTCTTTTTATTTGCTTTTCATATTTATCGACATTAACTGCACCAATTTATTTAATTACCGCAAAACTACTTTAAATCGTTTATGTAGAAATGTTATTATTTAAAAATGTTTTGGAATGTTTCGTTTTTTAAAATGTAAAAACATTTGTTTATTTTCTCGACGTTTGTCGCGTTTTGTCTATACTAAACGAATAAAAAACATTATAACTTAAATTTAAAAAAGATTATAAAATATGCTAATATTTGATTTTTTTTTCTTAAATATGTAATTTAAAGTTTTTCAAATAATTATTTTTTCTTTTTAAAAAGTCAGCGAGTAATAAACTGGAAATTTTAATATTGTACGATTAAAAACTGTGCAATAGCTAATATTTTTACAAGCGATTTTATATAATATTTATTTATTTTTATTTATTTTCATAAAGCGGTTGATAAGCACAATCACTCGTATTAATAAAAAACTTAAACGAACGTTTTGAATAGATTTTTAATGTTAACAAGGAATTTTATTTCTATTAAAATAAAATAAAATGTTAGAATAAAAATCTTATAGGTATAAAAGAAATATTTCAGCGAAAAAATTATTCTTAAAAATTATTCTTAAAAATTATTCGAAAAACTATTGACGTTCTATTTTTCAGCAGCTGTTCTTGAGCACGCTTTGATGAGTTTCGGTAACATAAAAGCGATCGTTATTATTTAAGTAATTTTTTTGAGTTACTTTTTACAAAAATTTTAATAACTGTACTTTTTTATTGAATCAAGTAGAAACGTTTTGATATTAATCTTTTTTTTTTTTTATTTGCCCTCACCAATTTTTAAAATGTTTCCTCGAAATCACTCTTAAATACTTTAAATACGTCTAACAGTTAATAAATATTTTTAAATCTATGGAATAATTTCAAAACCTATCAAACCCCTGTAAAATAATTATTTAAGTTTAAAATCTAAAACTAAAAGAAAGTATTTTTGTTCAATTTTATCGACAACGTTGCTATTGCTGAATAATTTTATTAAAATGTTAGCTTAAAAGATTTAAACTTTTTTTTTAATTTTTGAATTTTTTCTACTTCCAAATAATGAGCATATTTAATTTTTTTAAATTCAAACTTTTATTTCAACTGCGTGCGGTTTTTAAAATACTTTATTAAATGTTAAAATAATCGTAAATTACTTCATTAAAATTCCGCTCAAAAATATCTTTAAATATACTCAAACAAAAAATTTTTTGCTCGACGCAAATAGCCCTAGCTACACGCAAAATCGCCCTTGGACGACGTAAAATTCACATCGCCCGACGCTTTATCGCAAGGCCTGATATATATATATATATATATATATATATATATATATATATATATATATATATATATATATATATATATATATTGTTGTTTTTATATATATATATATATATATATATTGTTGTTTTGATTATTTGATAATAATCAATTCTTTTTCGATTTGAGAGTGATCAATATAAAGTGAAATAATCACAAAATAGATCAATAAATTTGTACCATATATTTAGTCACTGTATAAATATTAGTATTGGTAATAGTATATATAAACAGGGTTCCCACATCTCCTTAAAAACATTAAATATCCTTAAAAAATAAAAGCCTCCTTTAATGTCCTTAAATAACCTTAAAAAAAGTTAAAATTTGACTGCTCCTATATTTTTGCTCCATACGTTTCCAATATTTTTGCTCCATATGTTGACCACTCTACTCAAGTCACATATGTGATGGAAAAAATAAACTTTTGATATTCAGTCAAGAACATTCCGATACCATCCATTAAAGACTTCAAAATGCAATTATTGGATAAAACTGAAACTTTAATCAAAAGAATGCGATGGAAAGCGTTTTTCTTTTTAAACAAGAGTTTAAATAGTAAGAACAATTTTTATTATAACTACGGATTAAAAACATCTAAACATCCAAAACAAGTTACAGAAATGCTAGCTTTTGAGAACGAACTCATTGATCTTGTAAAACACATAAAGTTTCGAAAGGTACAAAGCAATTTTCAAAATAAACTAAAACAAGATATAAATATTATTCGAAAATCTAATCAAACTTATACATATGCTGATAAAACATCTAATCTTTACAAATTATCTAAAAATGATTACAACCACTTGTTAAGAAATGCCATCACTTCAAATTACAAATTAACTCAAATATAATAAATAAAGTAAACATAGAAGGTAAACGTCTTTTGAAAAATCATGAAGTTTTCGATAAAATTGATATTAATACAGCTTCCAATTGTTTTATCACCTTAAAAGACCATAAAGATAATTTTGAAAACAATCCGACTGTCCGTTTATTGAATCCTGCTAAAAATGAGTTGGTAGAATTAGTATGTTTTTTCTAAAATTAATACAGACCTAAGAAGTATATTACAATTAAACCAATGGAAAAACACTCGAAATGTTATCGATTGGTTTAAAGCCATAAAAGACAAACACCTTTATAAATTTTTAATTTTTGATATCATTGACTTCTACCCTTCTATTAGTGAAACACTTCTAAAAAACTCTATCAAATTTGCAGAGCAACACTTAACACTAAATAAAGAGAAAATATCGTTAATTTTTAATGCAAGAAAGTCTTTGCTTTTCAATAATAATCAGGTTTGGATAAAGCAATCAAGTGGTTTATTTGATGTTTCCATGGGAGCTTTTGACGGCGCGGAGGTTTGTGAGCTTGTAGGAATATTTCTTCTTTTCGAAATTTCAAAATTTTATAACAAGTTTGAGGTTGGTTTATACCGTGACGATGGATTAGCAGTTTTTAGGAATAAAAGCGGCCCTCAAATGGAAAAAATAAAAAAGCATCTTTCCAAAATATTTAAATACAATGGCTTACGGATTTCTATACAATGCAACATGAAAATTGTCAACTACCTCGACGTCACTCTAAATCTTAGTGAGTGCACATTTAAACCTTATCTCAAACCTGATAATACATTAAATTATATCCATGCTGATTCAAATCACCCTCCAAGTATACTAAAACAAATACCACACTCAGTTGAACTTAGATAATCTACAAATTCTTCTACCAAAGAAATATTTCAACATGCTGTTTCTCTATATAATGAGGCTTTATTAAAGTCTGGTTTCAAATGTAATCTAACATATAATCCTAAAGCAATATCAACTAAAAAACGGAACAGAGCACGAAACATCATTTGGTTTAATCCTCCATTTAGCAAAAATGTTAGCACCAACGTGGGAAAATGTTTTTTGAAATTAATTGGCAAACATTTTCCTAATAATAACAAACTACATAAAATCTTTAACAGGAACACAGTCAAAGTTAGCTACAGTTGTATGCCAAGTGTGAAATCAATCATAAATTCGCACAACAAATACATTTTATACAACGATACAAACTCTAATCAAGAAAATTGTAACTGCTTAGATAAAAATTTCTGCCCAATAGATGTTTAACAAGCAACATTGTATACCAATTGTCCAATAGATGTTTAACAAGCAACATTGTATACCAAGCAACTGTAACCACCACTAGTGATTCATCTCCTAACAAAAAATCCTACATCGGTGTAAGTGAGACTTCTTTTAAATTGAGATACGCTAACCACGTTAAATCTTTTAACATCCCAAAATACAGAAATGATACTGAGCTGTCAAAGCAGGTATGGAAAAAAAAAAGAAGCCAATTTAGTTCCTATAGTTAAGTGGAAAATTCTCAGGCAATGTAAAGCATATAATCCTACAACCAAATCTTGTAAATTTTGTCTCACCAAAAAATATGAAATCCTAAATTATAAAAATACTAATCTACTGAATAAAAGGAGTGAGATTGTTTCTAAGTGCAGACATAGA